TCACAATTTGGCAATATTTCTAAGATGGGAAAAAATTTTAACAGTATTCAAAACATATGGCTCAAACATTAGATTCTCCTAAATTCTTCAATTTTGTTTGAAACTCCACAGTAGAGCCATTAACAGTTAGTGTGACGAGCTCTGCTTTGCATAGTTGGTGGGGTGAACCAACAAGCATAATCTGTGTTAAACGAAAATTATCTGTCATCCATTCCTTCATCTTAGAAATACACTCAGGAAAAAAAATAACAGGCACAGTTTCATTAGGTCTAAAATGAATGTAGATCTGGGTATCATCTGTATAGAAATGAAATTTTAGACCAAGTGATCTCAAAAGCTGGCGAAGAGGATAAACATTAACATTAAAAGAAGAGGGCCCAAAATTGACCCCTGAGGGACACCAGACTGCAGATTACAAGTAATGCGAGTTACATAATTAGATTACTTTTTTCAAGTAACTAGTATAGTAACGCATTACTTTTAAATGTAAAACAAAATATCTGAGTTACTTTTTCAAATAAGTAACGCAAGTTACTCTGTGTTCCCATTCATTGACTGACAGCTCTCCTGTCCCCGTGTTGAGAGAAATCAGTGTTGTGTGCACTATGTAAACATGATGGTTCTTGTAGTTCTAGAATAAATAGTGAGCATGCATTTACTCATCTCACTTGAACAAAAGCACATTCATAGTAATAATAATAATAATTAAAGCTGCAAGCAGAATTTATCGGTGTTCAGGTCTTTAAGGCATTTAAGCACAAAAGCATCAAAAAACATTAAGTTGTATGTAGCAGGCATGATTTATCATGATATACTACATTTCAGCTTGATATTACATAATTAACCATGTTCCAATATGATTTATCATAATTTAACATGTTAAAATATGATTTACTACAGTTTAGTTCACACACTTATTTTCAACTTCAGGATAATAGTCATTTTTTACTAAATGTGGTTGTAAATGTTAAAAGATTGAATTGATAAAGTTATACTATGAATTATAGTTGAGTATTGTGAAAAAAAAATAATTTAAACAGCAGTGGGCAGTACAACACCACTCATTGGCCACCTATAATCCGATCCTCACGGAACTTTGCGGAGGAACTTTGGTTGCTGTAGCGCCACCTATCCACCTATGCACCTCGTACTCTGACAGCTTTGAGATATACAAATCCAAGCCACCTATGATCCGATCCTCACGAAACTTTGCATGCTTCCTAACCATGTTAGGACACATATGCTCGTCGATTTTTGTGAAGTTGTGACTTTTTGGGGGGGATTTAGGGGCTTTTGACTGAATTTTGCCACAGACCACTATCTAAATGACCCTGTTACAGCCAACCAAATGCAAAATTTTAACTTTTTTTCGATAATTATTGATCTAGAGAGTCCAGAGAATAGGCCTAGACTGGTTTGGTCCCAATCGGGCAAAATCCAGGCACTAGTTCGCAAAAGTGGGTTTTGGACAAAAACCGAAATAACAAATTTTTTTTGCTCCAAATGGAAATCCGAGATATACATCTTGTCCGTCTTGTAGTTATGAGCAATTTAGTACTTTTGGTTGCTGTAGCGCCACCTATGGGCCAATCGGGCTCATACTCTGATAGCTTCTCCACAATTTGAGGCCCTACCATCTGACAAAGTTTCAGAGCTCCAGCCCTTACGGTTTGGCCTGCACGATGCGTTTTAGGGGATTTTTTTTTTCTTTCTAGCAAATACAATAGGTTTTCAGCACTTCGTGCCTGAACACCTAATAATGCATAAAAATGCAACACCCAAGGTCACCTCACAAGCAATACACTGGTCACTGCATAAGACAAAACAC